AGCGGGCACGGCGTCAGTGCCAATCTTGGCGGCTGCACCGGCGGAGGAGGCTGCACAGGCGGAGTCCTCGGATGAGGCGCCGCTGTCGAACACGGCGATGGACTTGCAGGCAGTCCGCCAGGCGGCTGGCGAGGCATGGGCGGCGCAGGCGGCGGCGCAGGCGGCCTTCCAGGTCAACGGGCAGCTAATGTTGAACCACCGTGAGGTTTAGCTCAACGACCGCATTTTTTATTTTGCGGAGTGTTGAGCGCGAAGCTTCGCTTCTGGTTCGGCATTAAATGCTCTCGAGGGGGTGGTCGACGTGGAGGCCGAGGACATGCTCGCTGCGCCCGTCGAGGCGCCCCTCTCGCAGAAGAAGTTGGACGCTATGATGCCAGAGGGTGGCTATAGCCAGGCAAGGGTGGGAGATGACTCTCTCGATACGGACTATGACGAGGCCTTGCAGGCGAGCCTGACCGAGGAGGATGTCCAGCGGGCGCTCAAGGCGAGGGAGGTCCATGAGATGGCCATCGCCATCAGCGCGAGCAAGGAGACCGCGGCGGCCCAGGGCATCGAGGTCGTTGAGCCCAACCCAGAGTCCCGCTGCAGCGACGGGAGCGATGGGCGTGGCTGGCAATCCAAGGAGCGCTTTCTTGTCGTTTCTCCTCCTCGGCCTCCTCCGCCTCCTCCTCCTCCTCCTCCTCCTCCTCCTCCTCCTGCTCCTCCTCACCCACCCCTCCAAACTCCATCGCGGTATCCATCGCGATGGATTCCGCGATGGAGCGTGGAGTCCAATTTCCATCGCAAAATCCATCGCGATGGATTCTGCGATGGAGTTTGTAACTTGCCCGCTGGCCCCTCAGGAGTACGACCTCGCCATGGCTTGCGTTGTGGCCGCGCAGCAGTCCGCCGCCGAGGACTCGCCGCTGTCGTCGTCGTCGTCGTCGTCGCCACCTCTTCCCTCCAGCTTTGGACCGTCTCAGTTGGGAGGCGATTCCATCGCGGAATTCATCGCGATGGATTCCGCGATGTGTGTTTAGGGGGGATACAATGTGGACACAAGTGAGGGCGAGGAACAGGATGACTCGAAGAACGACGGGGACGAATAGGAGTGCGAGGATGAGGAGAAGGGCAACGAGAGGGATTTCGAGGAGCAGGATTCAGAGGAGAAGAGTTCCAGTGCCCCACGGAGGATAGCGCTGGCCCAGAGACCCCGCCGAAGCACAGACGGCGGGCCGCCGAGAAGGCGAAGAACGACGTCGAATCGACCATCAAGGATCGATTGGGGTTGCCGCCGCTGGCGCCGCCGCTGACGCCACTGCTGCTCCTCCTCCTGCTAATCCTACTCCTCCTCTTCCTGCTCCTCTGGCCTTCGTAATCCTCGTAACCTCCTCTCCTCATCCTCCGCCCCTCCTCGTCTTTGCCCCCCTACTCGTTCCCCTTCCTCGCCCTCCTTCCCGCCCCCCTCCCTCCTCGTCCTCCTCCCCCTCCTTCTCCCCCTCCTTCTCCCCCCCCCCGTCCTCCTCAGCCTCCTCCTCCTCCTCCTCCTCCTCCTCCTCCTCCTCCTCCTCCTCCTCCTCCTCCCCCTCCACTCCTCCTCCGGTCAAGCCGCTACTACGGCTCAGGAAAGCCGTAGTTATGCGAGGCGCGTGGAGGGCTCCGCCGCGATGACACCGAAGCTCGACAAGACCGAGAAAGCGGCTCCCGAGAAGAGCCAGATCTCCAAGCTCATACTGGTGTGGAGTTTTCACATCGGCAAGGCGGGCGTGCACCCTCTCCTACTACACCTCGTTCGTCTCCTCATCCTCCCCCTCATCCTTCTCCTACTCCTCATCCTCTTCCACCTCGCCTCCTCCTCGTCCTCCTCCTCGTCTCATCCTGCTCCGCCGTGTCTCACCTATTCCAAATCCTCCCCACTCCTGCCGTTCCCGCTCTCGTCGTCGCGTCGCCCGCCTTCCGCCGCCCACTGAACAGGCGGATTCCGTGGTCTACAGCACCGACAAGCTCCACAAGTCGACCCTCGACTAGTCGCGGCTGCTGCACTACAGAGATCTGCTGAAGGCCACGCGAGAGCACGTTATGGGCACGCTGAGCCAGCGGGTTGCGAAGGACACCCTCCTCCTCCTCCTCCTCCTTCTCCTCCTGCTCATCCCCCCATCTCGTCCATCATGCGCCTCCTACTCGCAGGAGGCGTTGGAATCCGTGGCGGCGAGGAACGAGGAGGCGTGGAAGCTCTCCACTGGCGCGGATGGCTTGGCAGAGGACACTGCAAAAATGCTGCGAAACATGCTCCGTGATGTTTCGCAAGCGCTGCTGAAGACCTCGGGTATACGTAGGGCCAACAGCTGGAGGCGGTGCAGAAGTGCAGATATACATACCGAGCTCGCTTTCGGAAATCCATCGCGAGTTCCATTGCGGTGGATCTCTGATGGAACTCCGAATGCGGGCTCGGTGTGCACATATGCTGTTCTGCACCAGCTCCAATTTTGCAGCGTCCTCACCTAGCCCAGAGGAAGCCTCCCGCTGCCTGGGCCCAGGTGTTCGCCATCGACGGCAGAGACGAGACCGACGCCGCAGGAGCTGCGGATGCAGGAGATGACGCAGGCCCAGGTGGTGCGACGGAAGCTTCAGAGCCAGAGGTGCCGTGGGCATTACTAACTGTCCCACCTCGTCCCTCTAGCTCATCCTCCTTCTCCTTCTCCTCCGGTGCTGCTCTCCCTCATCTCCTCCCATTCTCCCCCCCCATCCCCCTCCCCCATCCCCTTCCCCCTCCTCCTCCTCCTCCTGCTCCTCCTCCTCTTCCTGGCCCGTCTTCTCCTTTAGGGCTGCCTGCGCTCGCCTGCTAATCCCTGCCTCCGCCAGGTCGAATGCGATGGCGGCAGCGACAATTCTGACTGCGCAATTTACGTCAATCACTTTTCGGACTTTGATGAGGAAGAGGAGGAGGAGGAGGCCGAGGAGGCGTTTTGGAAGCGACAGGCGGAGGCGGGATTAGAGGACCGCATGTTCATAGGGGGCCCATATCCCTCCCACCCTTGTCCAAGCACTCCGAGCAGGTGCCAGCGTCGAAGAGGCGCAAGAAGCGCCCTGCTGACATCCTGGAGGAGCGCGATGGCTGGGAGCTCGGCTACGAGCCCACTATGCAGGCAGCGCTAGACGAGCCAAAGTAGGCGTAGGCTTTAGGAGGAGGTGGGGGAGGAACACGACCATGAGGAATATACGTACTTGACGGGGGTGAGGAATAGGAGGAGGAGGAGGAGGCGGAGGAGGAGGAGGAGGAGGAGGAGGTGGAGGAGGAGGAGGAGCAGGAGGCGGATCATGATGATGATGATGATGATGATGATGGTGATGGTGATGGTGATGTGATGGTGATGGTGATGGTGCTGCTGGAATGATGATGATGATGTGGATGGTGATGCTGATGATGATGATGACGATGAGGAGGAGGAGGAGGAAGAGGAAGAGGGGGGGGAGGAGGAGGAGGAGGGGGATGAGGAGGAGGGGGAGGAGGAGGAGGAGGAGGAGGAGGAGGAGGGGAAGGAGGAGGAGCAGAGGAATGGGATTGGCGTGGGTGAGTGACGTAGTGCCTAATCGAACCGCCCCAGGCAGCTTGGCGCAGGAAAGCCGACTCCGACGACAGCAAGGAGTACATCATCGCCAGGAAGGTCGACGGCAAGCAGAGACTGGTCGCGACGTGGGCCGACGACTACGAGTGGGAGGTCGTTGGGACACACGCCGACCAGCTGAGCGACAAGAAGTCGACTGGCCAATTCCGATTGTTCAAGGGCCAGCTCGACGGCGCCTCCGTCATCACCTGCATCGTGAACCACAAGACCCGAGGGCAATGGCTGCAAATACAGCACGGGAGTGGTCAGCTCCTCCAGCTGCGCGGGTACAAGCCTGAATACTTCGAGGATGCCAAGAAGTGGGCCGTGCAGGCGGCGCTGGACTTCACCATGGGGCGCAAGGACAAAGCCAAGCTCGAGGTCGAGAAAGCGGAGTGGCTGGAGTCGCACGGCATCGAGACAGTCCGCAAAAAACCAGCGGCCGCAATGAAGAGACCTTCAGGAGTGGCGAAGAAGCCTGCTGCAGCATCACCCGATGACGTTCACGACTCGGACGACGGAGTCGCAGTCGGTGATGCCGAAGCAGGCGCTGAGGAGGCTGCGGAGGCAGAGGAGGCGGATGCTAATGAGGAAGAGGAGGAGGAGGAGGAGGCGGAGGTGGAGGAGGACGATGCCGAAGATCCTGAGGGTGAAGATGAGGAGGCAGAGGCCGCTCCAGTGATGAGAAAGCCAGCGGGACACGACAAGCTCGAGCGAACCACCCCCGAGGAAATGAAGAGGCCAGCTGCTTGGACGCAGGATGAGACGGCCTTCCAGATACCGAATAAAACCACACAGCCAGAGCAACGCGCATCCAGCGGACAGGGGGCCACCCCACCCACGGCCCAGATAGTTGCAACGGCGGCAGCAGGTGAGACGGACGGAGGTTGTTCTTTTGGTGCGCCGCCGCCCCCGTGCGACACGGACTTCTGAAGAGGACGTGTTGATGAGTTGCTCGCGCGGCATAGTCATAATATTGGCCATCGCCCCATCATAGCCACCACCATCATCATCAGCATCATTACCATCAACAGGATCATCGTCATCATCATTGTCATCACCATCAGCACCAGCACTAGCATCATCGTCATCATCAGCATAATCTTCCACATTGGCAACCCTCCTCATCCTCGGCCCTCCACCTCGTCCACCTCACAGTTCATAGGCCCGCAACCTCAACCGGGAACCCGCTCCACCCGAAGCCTCAACCATCGGGAGCATTCGTAACCAGAAATCTCACCATCGAAAGACTCATCGTTCGGAACGTCCATCGCGAATTCCACTGCGATGGAATCCCCGCCAACCTGTCACATCAATTTCATCATCTCTCCTACTCCCAATCCTCTCCTGCTTCCGTCTTGCAGCCGCTGCCCGCTTCCTCTTCTTGAACTCTCTCTCGACGCACCTGCCTGGCAGGATATCGAGTCGTCGCAGGGCGAGGTGGACGAGGTTGCCGCGGCGCGCTCGCTGGTCGAGTTGTTCCAGAGCAAAGCCGTGGCCAACATGCTGGGCATGAAGGGGCATACGGACATGGAGTCTACGATGAACGAGCTGCAGCAGAGTATCGACGAGAACGGCCAGCTGAAGGGCCCCCAGAGGTGGGTCGTCACGCCGAGCATGAAACAGCAGGCCGAGGCGGCGGCCGAGGACGGTGACGAGGTCACTCAGGCCGAGTACGACTTCTGGAAGGACGTGGAGAAGAACAACTTCGCCGTGCCAACAGACGGGAAGGTCAGTCCCATGGCCTCCCGCTGGCAACGTGCATACGAGGGGGATGCAAGTCTCAAAAAGAGGTATGATTCAATTTCGGGCGTGAAGATCAACAAGAGGAAGGCGGAGTTCCGCCGCAGCTGGGCGCTCGACAAATTCAAGAAGCTGAAGGTCGGTTGTGTGGGAAAAACAATAAGTCAAAGTTCCTCACCTCCTCCACTTGAAACCACCTCCCACCTGAAACCCTCATCCATCCCATACCTTATCCATTAGACACCTCCGTCGCCAGAAACCTCGTCCACCAGAAGCTTCATCATTTAAGAAGCCCATCGCGAGTTCCACTGCAGTGGACACGGCGATGGAAGTCCCAGGTATCCCTCCTCCTCGCTCGCTCGACTCTCTCTCTCCCCCTGTCCCCCCCTGCCTAAATCGCACGCCCGCCTATCTTACCTCATGCTCTCGCCCCGCAGAGGTGACGAAGAGCTACACTGCCATCGATAAGAAGCAGGAGTTCCAGCACGCGGTCTACCTTCCTCTAGGACGCATAGCGCATAAAGAAGGTGGAGGACGTCTCGGTATGATCCAGGCGCATGGTTTCCATCTGGGCATAAGCGATGAAGCTAAGCTCTTACTAGATTCCCCATCTCATCCTCCTCCTCCTTCTCCTCCTCCTCCTCCTCCTCGGCCTCCTCCTCCTCCTCCTCCTCCTCCTCCTCCTCCTCCCCCTCCCCCTATTATTACTCCTGCTCCCCCTTCTCACCTTCGCAATCCTCATCCTCAGCTCCTCCTGCGTGATGTCAGGCCCGCTGCAAGGGGGGATTATATTCAACCAGAGTAATCAATCGATTGCCCCCCCTCATTTCGAGGCACCCTCCCCCCTCATTGCATAGGACTAGGCGCGTAATAATTAATGATCGGGCGGGCGCCAAGCTGGCAAAAGGGCGCGTCTTAGGGGAGGTGGTTCTTATGCGTCTCCTGCAGGCGATGCGCTACTTCGGGAAGGCCATCCAGATGGGGCCGCCGTGGGTCATATACGACCCTATGACAGAGAGCCTACGGGCTCTCTACATCACCCGCGGTTGGAATCGCACATTTTCGGAAGCTTGGTCCATGCACCAGGTCTGGTCGAACGAGGACGGGGATCCAGGGTGCCAGCGAGACACGCCCCGTTCTACCTCCTTCTCCTCGTCCTGATGCCCCTCTTCCTCATCGCCCCCCCCTCCTCTCGGCCGAGGAGGGAAGGGCAGTGCCGAGGCGCTGGAGGATGGAGGAGTGGCGGAGGGGGAAGCCGCTAGGACGGATAAGGAGGAAGGGTGGAGCATGGATGGAGGAGGAATTCGGGAGATAGAGGGACGCCAGGACGAGCGCAGATGTTGATGATGAGGATGCTCAGCAATTAAGGAGGATATAATTCGCCACTCCTGAGGACGAGCCGTCCGCTATCACGTTGCCAACGGTCGACGGCCAGCGCCAGCTTGGCGATGCCGCAGCGGGTTCAGATGCCACTGCCGACGGAGCAGGGCGGAAACGCAAGGCAGAGGAGGCTCTCGGCGACGCCGACGGAGCTGACGGCGGCCCCCGTCGCAAGGGGAGCGGCAGGGGTGGCGGCGGTACGGCTGGCGGCAAATGTGGCGGCGAGAGGGGTGGCGGCGCCGCTGCGGCGGGCGGTGGCTCCACCGGCGGCGCGGACGGCAGCGACGCGGTTGCCGCTCGCAAGAGGCGCCAGGGAGGCGGCGGCGGTGGCGGCGGAGGCGGCGGAGGTGGCGCCTCCCCTTCTGACGAGCTGATGAAGGCCAAGATGCTGCAGGTGAGGAAGCTCATCGACCGCTTCAACTGTTTGAAAGTCCAAGCCGACGCGATCACGAACTCAATCGAATCGGATGAGGCCTGGAAGTGGGCGAAGAACGACGACACGGCCGCCAAGATCAAGCAGACGCTCGAGCAGATGGGCACGTCGACGAAGACCGACCCCAAGCTCGTGGCTGCACTGACCACGCCCCTCCCCAAGCTGAAGAAGACCTACAACGACGTCGACTTCAAGGCGATCCTCAAGAGCGTGTGCAACCTGGAGCCCAGCCTGAACTCGCTGCAGGAGTGCCTCACGTGCATCATGGGGTGCCACAACCTCAAGCACCCCTCGGCGTGATGATCGGATGAGCTGACGGCACAGCAGCTCCCATGAGGGGTGGTCCAAGAGAGATGCGTTACAATGTGAGGGCGAGCAGCGGCGACAGCAGCAGATCAGTGATGCTACGCCTCCTCCTGTGCATCCCCCTCCCTCGTCCATCCCACTCTTTTTCTCTCCCCCCCAACCAAGCCCGTCCACGCGTTCCTCCTGGACCACCCCTCGGGCGCAAGGGTGCGCAGTGGCGGGCGCCCGCGCGCAAGTTTTGATGGCTCGCGGGCACGTGCAGGGGCGCCTGAGCTTCTCCCGAGGCCCCCCCGACTCCCCCGCCCGGCCAAAATCAAAATCCATCGCAAATTCCACCGCGGGGGATTTCGCGGTGGATTTTGAAATTCCATCGCGACTTTCATTGTTTTTTACAGGGTTTGGGCCGGTGGATTTTTTTTCCACTGCGAGTTCCACCCCGGTGGAATTCCCGGTGGAATTTGAAAATCTCTCCCCCGAGCGATTTTGGGCCGAGGACGGCCTTGGCGGCTGCCGACGGCGCGGTCTGGGGCTGCGGACGGCCCCTGGCGGCCGTCGGCAGACAGTGGAGAAGGGTTGCAGGCTGAGATGGAGGGCAGAAGTTGGGAGGGGGGCGAAAAAACACACATGATGAACAAAAACAATGAAACGGCGGGAGTGATGTATATGGGTTCTCTGATATCGTGCTGTGTCGATCTTGTTAGAATGCTGGCGTCCGACGCGTGTCCTCTTCAACTTTGAATTCGACCGTGGCAGCTTTCAGTGCGCTCGCTCTGCTCGGTCTGCTGGCAACTGCTGGCACACGTGCGTGGTGATTCACGGCATGCGCTATCCAGGTGTCCTGTGCTCGGCAATTTCTTTCATCACCACTGCCTTGTGCGTTGGCTTGCCAACAGTGGTCAGGTGTTACGCGACGGGGTAGATCGCGCGCTCTGCCTGAGAGCTCGCACTGTGTGCTCTGCCAAACGTGCTCTGGGGCGGCGCTGATATCATCGCACGCACTCGTTCAACGTGTTCGGCGCCATTGGGTTCGCGTGTGGGAGTGGGAAGGGCATTAGGGGAGGAGCAGGGTGAGGGGGGGAGCGGGATGCATATGGGAGGCGGGAGGAAGGACGCGACGCGGGAGTGGTGGGCGACGTGTATGGGATAGGAAGCAAGTATGGCAGAGGAGATATGCAGTGGCACGTGCAGAGCGCAGGGTGCAGTGCGACGGTACGCCTTTGTTAGATGTAGGTTGCCCGCAGCCTCTCCTCTGAACCATCTCTCACGCGTCGCATTAATCGTTTGGGAGATCGAATGCTCATCACGCCTGTTCCGATTGTCATTGTGTATCGTGCAGCCCTCTCTGGCGTCAAGCCTATTCTAGCTGGACGCTTATGCCATGTCACGCCCCGACTCTAGGGGCCGAACCCCGACTGGCCCACGCGCCTGGCATGCTACTTCCCAAGCTGAACGGGATTCTGGGTCGCAGCTTTTGCAGTTAATGATCAAGCTTTACGCAACATGTAAAATTTCAGCCAAGGATTTCTGCAGCCTCTGCTGGCATGCACATGGCGCCAACGTGGCGGGGGGGGACTTCGGCATGTATGCAAAGGATCCTAGCAGTCAAAGCGGCAAATTTCAACATCATTTAGACGAGGTCCTACCACAACCCAAATTTTTATTTCCTGTCTCAACTCCCGTGAATTTCAATCGCCGCCCAGAGCGTACGTTGAGAGATGTATTAATGAGGTGCCCGTGTGAATCGTTGGCAGAGGAGATCAGCACAGACCCCATTGACCCTGTCGCACGTGCTGTCCCCCCCTGGGTCCCGAACGTCCAGCGTGATGGATGCACCGGTGTATTATAACCACCCACTTGTTACTGCTGCCCGAGACAGTGGTCACGACCTACCAGTTCCTATTGCGATATACTTAGACGGTGTACAATACATCAGTCAAGCAGCAGGTCGTTCAGATACAGTTTTGGGCGTGTGGATGGTGAATCTTATCTCGATCTCCCCATGCCACTAGTACCTTTCATTCCGTCTCTCCCATCAGCCTTCCCCTCCATCCTCAAACTTATCAGACCTCCTTCCCCCTCATATCAATTACTCTTTCGCCTGCAATGTATGTTACCTTATCCCAAATACCCATCAGCATCCTCTTAAGTATCCCTGTTTCTGTCCGTCGCATCCTCTCCTGCTCAACTCCACCCCCTTACCCCGCTCCCCAGTCCTCCATCCACCAGTCTGGGCAACTAGCCTCACGAGTTTATTATTTCGCAGGCAAAGCGACACCTGCTCGTGCGGGTGCAAGGGCTGGTGTTCCCTTTTTCCTTTACTGCAAGCGTGCAAGTGGCAGCTGACGAGCATGGCCACTGGCTCTCGCCCTGCTCAGCGTCACGATCAAACGCCGTGGAGCCCTGGGGACCCGCTGGGATCGACGGCCCCCTTGGGTTATAGGTGCGTGATGGTGTGGATCAAGGGGGATTGGAGCGAGCGCGCTCACAGTTTGGGGCTTGCGAGCTGGTCGTCAAAATACGCTCCCTGTCAGTTTTGTAGCCTTCTGAAACCCGACCTCCATTCTTGCAGTCATTGCCTGTCTGATCCTGCGGGTCCTGGGTGGCCACTCCGATCTCACGCCCAGTATGATCGTTCGTGTCGAACGTGCGAGATAGAGTTGACATTGACATCGGAAGCAGAAAGATGTGAGTTGGTCAAGGTGCTTCGTTGGAAGAAGGGTAAGCGCATTTTGGGCCGCTGTGTAGGCAAGGCCGTCAAAATAGGAGATATAGCGTTGCAGGAGGATGATCGACTGGGGCCCTCGGCCGAGCTTCTCGACATCGCTAACCTTGAGAAGCGACCTCTGCCTCTAAAGATCACGCTCTGGAGGCCGAGGCTGGGGGACGGGAACAAGGTGTTGGATTCGGTTTACCATCGGTGTCCATTATTTGCTAATGCACTGTTTGCCAGCCCGCACTCGTGCTTGGCGATAGATTCCCTACATTGCTTGTACTTCGGACCAATCATGCGGTACATATCGCGTGGCCTGTGGCGTATCATTTTAAGCAACAGGTGGCGTATACATGGTGATGTGGACACCGTCATATCGACGGGCCTGAAGACAATCCAGGGAGACCTGGAAGCGTGGCAGGATCGCCACGACACAGACGGGAGTAGGGCGAGCGCGTTGACAGTGAACATGCTTGGTAAGCGAAGAGGGTACAACCTCCAGGACTGTTTTTTCTGTTTTGTCACGGTAGTGCGCACGGGGGGTAAAGCAAACCCTCCTCCCGTCAATTCCCAAGCCCATGTCTCCATCCGCCTCCTCATCCTACTCTTCCTCCTCATCCCACTTTGTATCAGTCTCTTTCGCATTCGCTTTATATCCGTC